AATCATTGTTGTCCTTCTTTTGGTTGTTCAAGGAACCAAAGTGTATCTACCTGTGCCTCCATCTTGGCCAGAAGTTCATTCTCTTGACATTTTCTTTTGCAGAATTGTTTTTTTTTCTATCTTAACAAAGCCCAGCTTATCAATTATTTCTTTTATGGATTGTGTTTTTGGTACCTAGGCATTTATAACTGCTTTGTCCTTCACAGACTTCTAGCTTTATTGCTTTAACTTGGTGAGATAGCCAGAGTTTCTCTGGATTCTTTCTGTAGTATGCTCTCAAAACTTTATTCAAAGAGTTAGCTAGGGAAATTGTAGGGTTCACCTTCTGATATCTGTTATCCCTCAAAGAGCTCCAGATATTATTGCTTTATATCCAATAACTTAAAAATTATTGCTTCATGCCATGGCTGGTGTAGCTCAGTGGATTAAGTATGGGCCTTAGAACCAAAGCATCACTGGTTCAATTCCCAGTCAGGGCACATGCCCGTGTCATGGGCCATATCCCCAGTAGTGGGGCGTGAGAGACAACCACACATTAATGTTTCTCCCCCTCTCTTTCTCCTTCCTTATCCCTCTCTCTAAAAATAAATAAATAAAGTCTCAAAAAAAAATTATTGCTTCACATATTTTATTTATTTTTTTAGTTGTTTTCACTAGAAGTTTAAATCTGGCCTCTATTTACCCATTTTGACCATAAGTGAAGTCAGTAATATGAATGTTTCCCTCCACATTAACTCAATTAGGTTCTATTAGCATTAAATTGAAATTTCTTGTGGCTAGAAACCAAATCTGCATCTACTTTAGTATATACTGAGACTGGAATAATTTAATTAAAGATGTTTCTGAACTTCTTGGATGAGGGTAGTTTGTTGATATAAGGGAAATGACTGTGGATGTCGCCTACTGTGAAAGTGGATGTTTACTTTTTATTCGGATTTCAGAAATAAACTTTAGTTCATGCCTAAGAATGTCTCCCACAAAGTTCAATAATCTAGGGCAAGGGAAGATCAATACCACAAACTAGGAAACATTTTAAGTTCTGCAAAACCAGGACTGACTTTTCTGAAATGCTGATGTTGATTCAGTGTATTAGAGAACTGAGTAACTTGTGTGTTAATTAAGGTAAAATCTTTAAGGGTTTAAATCTTGCACTCATGTGCCAGTGCTCTCTGAGAGTAGCAATTTTATAATGAAAAGTCATTTGCTGCTTTAACCATGAGTTATTTATTTTCATGATCAATGAAATTCATTTAAAAATACCTTTTAAAAGATTTCAAAATGACAGTTATGACACACCCCATGTGAAAGTCTCTTGGTGAGTACTTTTACTAAGGGATAAGGTTTTTAAATACTGGTCCTTTACAGTGTAAACAGGAAAGATTGGGAGGAGGTGGATTAATCAGGATGGCACAGGGGAAAGCGTTTGGTGTTGGAGGCTTATCATGGAAGTCTGAAGTGAGAGAAACATTTCTTGGCTCAGTTCCCAGTATTGTTTGCTGGACACAATTTGCATGTGAACTGAGCGGCGTTCACACCCAACAATCTCTACTTTTCCAAACAACTAGTAGTGCATTTAAGTTTATATGTGACAGTGCTTTGGAAATTAAAATGTCAAAAGAGTTTATTAGCATTTGGTATGTTTGCCTAAAGAACAGAAACCGCACTGAAGAGCCTCCTGTCATCTGTATCAAATGAATAGGTTTTGCAAAAGCAAACCAGTAACTTTTCCTTATTCTGCTCTGAAGACTAACTTAGTTCACTGTAAGTGACAATATGTGTCCCAAAATAATTGGCAGTGAGTTGCAAAATGGTCTTCTATGGCGTATAGAAGTATATGCCACGTAAGTTGTATCCCCCAATTGTAAGGCTAATTTTTCATGTCCCTGAACTGTAATCTTATTAAGTTAGGCTACAGGGAAAAAAGGGGGGAGAGAGGAGGAGAATAAATTACATCCAGCTGCAATCATTCTACATACCTCTACTTAACCCTAGGGATGTTTATGAGGCTCAGAGGTTTCAGAGGACATGTGAAAATTGATGCAAACTCTTTCTTGTTTACATTGAATTTCTTAGTAAGAATTTGAGAGTGCAACAACTAGGAGAAAAACAGGAAAAGTGGCCTCTTGTCAACACTTAACCTCTTTTGTAGCTTTCAGTGGCAGTGTATTAGGGGAAATGACATGGGTCATTCATTGGGAGAAGTTTGAGAAAGATGTTTTTACATTTAAATTTAATGTATTCTCTAAAATTACTAGCAAAGATTAGCTCTATTGTGACAAACTATAGAAATGATCCCTTAAAGTATAGTCTTCGATTAGCTCTATTGCAGTAACTAGTATAAAACTGTGATTGTGGAGGCATAAAGACAATTAGGATATAAGATAGAACTGCAAGTTTAATAGATTAAATATTCTATTAACCAGAACAAGAATGCACACTTTAAAACATGGGAAAATATTGTCTGTGTCTAAAGAAAATACAGATGAAGTATTTCCAAAAACCAAACGGACTAGAAATAGGACTGAAGCTCGTCCCTGATACTGCTTCTGAGCTCTGACCCTCTTCCTCCTTGTTCCTTGCTTTATTCCTCAATTTAGGCACAAATGAAGGGCTGAAGTAAGTCATTCTTCTAAATTCATCAGAGGAGGGAGTTGAAGAAGCTTATCAGTTTTAAAATTTATAATCAGTTAAGTTATTGTCCATGTATTCATGGACAATGTATTAAGTCAATTGGTGCTTCATGTACACAAATATTATTTTTCTTAATAAGTTAGGAGTCACTGCTATCAGACCTTCATTAAATGTTGTCAACTAGAGTCATAGTTTCTTTTTAGTTCCTTCCTAAATTAGTGTGAGATAAGCCTACCCAAGAGAGGTTTAAAGCCTCCTCCTCACTCTCAAGGATGCTATTGAATTAGAAAAAGCTGCCGTGACTGAGTATGCTATTTCTTACATGGACTTGAGAAGAGGACTCTTCAAAGACCTGTGCTTGGTGATATTGTGCCAGCTCAGCATTGGCTCTTCTCAAGGGAAAACATTGTGAAACTCCACAAACCTGAGTTAGGGTTAGCCATTGTGGGTGCCAAGTCATAGTTCATGGATGAGTGTTGACACTCAGGGAAGCCTATACCAGGATGAAGGACATTTACGGAGATAGACCACTAAAGCTAGAAGGTGAAGTTCTCCCTCCCAACCCATCACACACATTTAAGTGTTTTTTTTCCCTTAAAAAGAAATTAGAAATGAAAATTTGAAATGCAGAAGGGAAAGTTTCCAGAATAAAGTAAAAATATCCCACACTTTAGAGCATAAAAGAAATAAAACATTTAAAACATGATGAATAAAAATAAAGTTTGGGATGAAGAAAATGATAGGATAGGAAAATGGGAAAAGAAAGAATGGAAAAAATTAGAAAAACAAATAACATACAAACTATTTCTACAAACAAATGTTGCTATAATTCAGGCTTCTTATTTTTGTCTTTTGAGTACTAACTAAATATGAAATATTTCTAATAATGGTCAATATAATATTTTTACTGGAAACTTAAGTTTCTGGCTAAACTTCCTAGAAATATTTATGGAAATTTCCCCTCTCCTGCCTGTAAAAATAACTCCCTGGGGTATTTTTAACAGCAAAGCCTGGATGAGACAGTCCACTTTCTTGACCTGTCATGTACTTGTGGCTGCTTCTGAGGAGCCTCATTTGTAAACCCTTGCTTGTGTTTTCCCCCCTCAAAACTGGCATCATTTTTATTTTTTTTAAATGTAGTAGTATGTACATTAATTTATACTACACATGTCTAGAATTCCACTTTACATAATTTCATGTCACTGCAGGCATTTTGGTTACTTCCAGAAATAATTTTTAGATCTAAGTAATCCTGAAGAAGGATCTGCTTTCTCCATCATGTAAACCAAGACTGCTACTATGTTCTTTTTCTTCAGGCTTCAGCATGGTGTGTGTATAACTGGAGAGCAAAAAGGAAATATAACCAAGTTTTTCATAAAATGAGCTATAGCAGAAGGTTTTAGGGGGGGAGGTTATAAAATACCATTATCTACCTCTAAGCAGGAATGTACTCACATCATATAGATCAAAATGGTAAATAAGTTTCATTGTATGTGTCAATCAATTTTCATTGATCAATTACTAGGTTGCATGGAGAATCATATTGATAAGGGTTCAGAGGTTTAGTTCAAACTCAGCAAGAAACAGTGTTTGTTTTTGAAATCTTCAAGCATTTTTTTTCAAAAATGTTAGTGAATTTAGGGAAGTTATGGTTATATTTGTCAAGAAGAAATGTTCTAGTGGGTAAGCCACAGAGAGACACATATCTCCACTGATCAAATAATATTCTTTTGGATAAATAAACTGATTTTTTAAAAAAATAAAAGGTCTCTAAGACATTGGTCCATCTGTTAACATTAGTCACTCACAGTTTTGCGGTAATTAATAAAGAAATCTCTTTGTTGAGATCAGCTGAGCTCTGGCAATGAAATAAAACTTGATTATGGGAGAAGATGAATAGTGACTTGTGGCCGGGAGATACATTCCTAAAATGTTCAATTCTTTTGAGAGGTTTGGGCACTTCAGGTTGCCAATGTCTTATCTAGGTCACTGACAAAAGTGTCAAGCAGAACCAGGCCCTGGTTTAACACCTGCTAAACATTATTTATGTCTGGCGTCTGACATGAAACCATTTGTAACCGTTCTATTTATTGATATCCTGAGCTCCCTTCTGTGTTTCCAGATCTGGAGTGTAGTAGTGCTCTCGGCGTTCAGCTGATAGATTTGCCTGAATATATAGTTCCCTGAATTAGCATAGGAATCTTCTTTCAATGACTCTATTTGCTTTTATTTATAGTTCTGACATAGTGGAAATTGTATGAGACAAAGATGAAGAGACTTGTATTTTAGCTCTAGCTGACCCTAGCTAATTGTGTAACTTTGTACCAATTGCTTCATCTCTCTGGACCTCAGAACATGAAGGTTAGCCCCGATCAGCATTTCCCAACCCGTGGCCTTCAAATTCCAGACGGTCCTAACTACTGCTAACTGCCCACGACTGCCCAGAATTGTCTGACTGAGTGCTACCGCTGCATGTGAAATATGGTGGACTTATAAGGTTCCTAAGAGGACTTTTGAAAAGGGAGAGAAACACTGGCTTAGGTTATGGGTAAGCTTCTACCTCTCTGTTATCTTTTGACTCACAGACTCTGCTTCTACATTTGACAAAAGTAAGAATATTTGACAAGAGTAAGAATAATCACTTCTATTTTACAGTAAAATAAATTTTAGGCATAGAAAAGTGTAATCAATTAATTTTCTCCATATTATATAATGACTTCTTAGCATTTTCTTTTGAGTAAGTCTGTTTTCTTCAGTTTAGTATGACATATAATCTTTATTATGTTTGGGACCTCTCTCTGACAATTAAACAACCATGGACGTGTGATTATGTATTTGATTTAATTAAAATGTTGTTCTTTAATTGACAAATTTCAATGAGAAGCAGGAGCAGACTATTCAATAAGTTATTTCCATAAAATACACAATTCGACTTCTCCCAGATTTGCGTGGTAGAGTTGCACTGTCATCTAACCGAGCTGTGGAATCCTGGCGCTCTGCGGAGCTACCTGATGCCAGGCCCTCTTTTAATAGGTCAGGAGATATTTCATCTATGATGTCAAAATTCACAAGACATTTGAACTGAGAATGCTTATTACGTACTCAGAAGGACACCAGGTAAATTTGCTTAGGTCAAACAGACAAACTGTATTTGGAATTGACGTCTTTAGAGATCAAGCTTCTATTGATATTTTTAAAACTAACCTTGGTAAAAATCACAGGTAGGACACATTATAGGGAGCTCTAAATACACACTGATGTGGCGTGTGTTGCTTGATGAATGACAGGAACTGTGGCATTTCTTAGCTGCCTGGAGAAGGATACACTTTCTAAAAGCTGGTGAGGTTTTAAAAAAATGTAGCCAGAAAATATGATGTTTTCATCTTAAAAGTGGAAGTTGAGTGGTGTAAAACATAATTTCAATGATTCTCTTCTTTCAGATCCCAGACCGTATGTTGTGGGTAAGGGTTACACTGTGGGTTTATTTTAAGGGGTTCATGAACTTATTTAGGCAAAGTACCTTAACTATTGACTAATATACTTTGTATATTTATACTGATTTATTTTAATCTACAGTATTATGACTAATATAATATTAATTCAATAAAATGTCTCAGTGAAGTTATTGTATCTTTTTACAGTATCTTTTCATGATATAGATAAGTATTTTAATCTACTGATCTTAAGAGTTCAAGAATTATTACTTGAAGGGTCTATGACATTTTATTCGTGAAGGGCCCTCACTTTGAAAAGGCTGGGAACCACTATCAATGTGTTTCAGGTGGAGCGACAGCCGGGTACAGAGCTGTTTTTGGCACAGGGCTCTGCCTCAGCTGCCTGTGTGCGGTGGTACAGACCAAAGTGTGCCTGCGAGGAAGCAGTCTTAACTAGTATCAACAGGCCACAGACTACACTTTAGTTATAAGAACAGTGCTTGGTGTGAGGATTATTTTTCTTCCAAATTCAAAATAAGGTAATGATTTTTTCTTGCAAATTCAAAATAAGGTGTTACCTTATTTTTGAATTACTAGACCAAAATAACAATAAAAACGGCAGATTCTAAATGTTTTATTCAATCTTACACCTGTAAATTACTAGGATTTCAAAGTTAGTGAAACCATAACAGATATTACTGTGGGAGGAAGAACATGATCAAGTATTAGCTGGAAGAAATATGAAACAGCTATATGTATAGGCAGCTATGCTTCAGTGAAACTTTAGTTAAGGCAAGTGAGGGGGCTACTGCCTTCTAGTGGCGCCTTCTCTCTCTCACTTAAGTGCCTTAATTGTTTCCCTAGAGAGTTTCCTCTTGTTTATTCAGAGTACAACCATTTAAAAAAAAAAAAAAAAACAGTCTGCCTTCTATTGTCAATGTAATCTTTTTTAAAAATAATGTTTCTTAATTATAGTTGACATACAATATTATCTTCATTTCAGTGTACAGCATAATGGTCAGACATTTATGTAACTTATAAAGTTAGCACCCTGATAAATCTAATACCCATCTGAGACCATACATAGCTATTACAAAATTATTGACTGTATTTCCTGTGCTGTACTTTAGATACTTGTGACTGTTTTTATAACGGGCAATTTGTACATCTTAATCCCTTCCCCCTTTTCGCCCATTCCCTCAATACCCCTCCGATCTGAAACCATCAGTTTGTTCTCTGTATCTATGAGTTTGTTTCTGTTTTGCTTGTTGATTTTGTTTCTTAGATTCCACATATAAGGGAAATTATATGGCATTTGTCTTCTCTGTCTGCCTTATTTCACTCAGGGCAATACACCCTAGGTCCATCCGTATTGCATACACAGCAAGGTTTTATTCTTTTTATGGCTGAGCAATATTCTATCACATGTATGGGTCCTGCCCATATGATGTCTTTGACCCTCCTGCTACCAAATTCAGTGTGGGTTCTTCTGTATATCCTTAGTTATTGGAGTTTTGTTCAGCTAGTCTTCAGATGGTTCTCAGTAATGGTTGTTCTACCATTTAGTTCTAATTTTGATGTAGTCGTGGGAGGAGGTGTGCACAGCATTTGCCTACTCTACCATCTTGACTAGAAATCTCTCAGTGTATTGAGTTGGCTAGAAATTCATTTGGTTTTTCCCGCAAGTTGGCTCTAGCAGTGCTTAGTTGTCTTGAACTTCATTTGAAAAAATTTTGTTAGCTTCTATTGCAACAGATGTTGTATCAGTGTGCATTTTTTAAAAAATCAAAATTTGTGAATTTTTGTGTAGCCATGTTAGTATTGAACATGGAAGAAAAATAAAATATTTCAGTGTATCACACTTTATTATATCAAGAAATATAAAAATGCAACTGAAATGCATAGAAAGACTTGTACAGTGTATGGAGAAGGTGCTGTGACTGAATGAATAAGTCAAAAGTGGTTTATAAAGTTTTGCGCTAGAGATTTCTTGCTGGTCGATGCTCTATGGCCAGGTAGAGCAGTTAAAGTTGATAGTAATCAAATTGAGACATTAATTGAGAACAATTATCAGTGAGCTTTGTTTGCTGCTATCATAGATTTTTACGTGCAACAAAAAAATATTTGTTGAATATCTGTTATGAAACCACCTATATGCAAGTATTCATAAAAGAAGTACAAGATGATTCTTACCCCTGAAGGAACTTTTTACTTATTTTTTAAAAGATTTTATTTACTTATTTTTATAGAGAAGGGAATGGAGAGGGAGAGAAAGGGAGAGAAACATCAATACATGGTTGCCTCTCACACACCCCCACTGGGAACCTGGCCTGCAACCCAGGCATATGTCCTGACTTAGAATTGAACCCACAACCCTTTGGTTTACAGGCTGGCACTCAATCCATTGAGCCACATCAACCAGGGCCCTGAAGAAACTTTTAATACAGAAGAGGATATGTACTAACATGAAATTTATGGTCATTTTCTTACCACAGAGAACAATGTTTAATAATGTTTTATTTATTAGAAAAATAATTATTTGACATTATGTGCTTGATTCATATTGGTCACTGAGATGGTTTTCAGTGTTTAGCAAATTTATTTTTTAAAAGTTATAATGTTAGAAGACTTACAGTGTTAAATAAAATTGCCATAGGTAAGTGTGATGGGATGAAGAGAGGGGAGAAGTATATTCTTGTCTTAGCTGTGTCCCTTAACTGTCCTATTTACTTTTTTTCTGTCTCATAAGAAGAAGAAAGGCTGTTAAACCATCCCTGATCATTTCCTTTCCTTTCCTAGGTCATTAGAAGAGCATTGAAGGACCAGTTGTCATTGCAGTGCCATATTTAATATGGTGCTCACACTGGTGTGAGCACCTTGTCTCATACAATAAATGAGTGTCCAGAAAATGTCCGGCTTCTCAGTGGAGTTATTTCTCTTGATTTCAGATTCCTTGCTCCTTAGAGATAAAGTTGTATGTTAAGAACCAGAATAGAGATTTTAGAACTATTTCTATAACCATGTTCAGGAAACTCTTATCATGCAAGTAAAAGAATATAATTTGTACTAAATAATGCATTTGAATATGGACCCATGTATTATAGTAGTGATTTTCAACTTTTTTCATCTCATGGCACACATAAACCAATTTTAAAATACTCAGCACACCAAATATTTATTACACTTTTGGCCGATCTGACAAAAAAATTAGGTATAATATTTATTCATTCATACTGGATGGCTCTTGTTGTGTTGGCTGTTGTCATTTTTTATTTGACACCTAAGGAAAATAAGTCAATGTCCCTGACTGAATAGTCAGGTAGTGTATGTTTTAAAAATTCTTGAAGCACACCAGTTGAAAATCACTGTATTATTGGACTACGTAGTGGCAGTCAGATAATAATTTGAAAGGGTACTTGGCAGATTTAAAAATATCCTTAAATATTTTTAAAAGTTTGCCCATGTTATTAATGAGTCTTCTTCCAATTTTAATATGCATACAATTTATTTTTTAAAAATATTTTTGGATAATAATTTATAAACACATTTGAAAGAAAATCAATTTTGAAAATAGCCCAACTTTGAATACCTTAATTAAAATTTCTAAGGTATTTAGTTGTTTTGATAGAATAAATAATAGCTGATCATATGATATAGGAAAAATATGTGATGTAAACATTAACTGAATTAATGTATGTGTGATATTCAAATCATACTGCACTCTGGGCCAGTCAGGCACATATGAGATACTGTGTTCTAGTCTAGGCACCAGAGTTTAATGCTATCAACAAATTACAGAGTATACAGAAACAGAAAATGATGAAAATCCTATGCAAAATAGCTGAACTGGGGCAAAATACTGAAGATGTAGTGATACTTTCACTTTTTCAACTATGTAAAAGACTATAATGTAGAAGAAAAAGGAATGGGAGTGGAAAAAGATATTGTATCTAAATCCATAGAGTTAAAAAATGCCACTGTTTTCTATATAAAATATATCTCAAATTTGTACTTTTCTTTCTTTGTATTTAATGTCTCCTAGATTTGCCCTAGACTCTTTATTCTCAATATTTGTACTTTAATTTGAATTACTGTAATATACATGTATCTGGCT